GGGGCAGGGCTGGGGGGGATCAGAGCTGCAACGCTTCTGCCTTGAGCAAAAATCTCCTCTTGCTGCTCGGAGGGTCCTGCCCTTGGTTTCTTGTGGCTTGGAAAGTGGGATGCTTCCCAAAGGCAGAATGTCTCCCAAAGGACTGGCTCTGCCAGGGCGATCCCTCTCCCACTGCAGAGGCTCTCCTGACCATGGGAAGCAGCAGGTAGGGCCTGGAAGGTGTTTTTCCCATGATTTGGGCTCGTGGGATGTGCACCCCAGGCTCCTTCCCCTCGGCTGTGCGGGACCGAGGGAAAACGGGAGAGATGATTGTTCCTTCCTCTCCTCTCTTTCCCGGCCTCGCTGCTTCCTGGGTGACCTTGGATCTGTCCCTTCTCCTCCCTGCTCCAGTCTCCCCATCTGCACAGAACAGCCTGGCCTTGGGGGCAGGGTTTCCCTGGCTCTGGGTGTGGGGAGCTGCAAATCGATGCTCAGATCTCCCAGCCTGATCCTGAGGGAGGATTTCCACCTCCTGAAATTCCTCTGTGCCTCTGCCACCTCTCCCTTCCCCGCTCTGTGACCTTGATGGGGTGAGCAGGACCTTCCTGGGCCTGGTGAGCTGGATCCTTCACCAGGAGCTTTGTCAGGAGCATCTTCCCCTCTCCTTCAGGGGCATTTGAGTGGAAGCTCTGCAGCAGCTGAAGGGGGGTTGATGCTGGGACAGGGAGGGACAGCAGAGAGTCCCCAAGGCTTTAAATATTCATTTGGAACTCACCCAATCCCACCTCATGGTTTTTACCTGCCTCAGTTTCCCTTTATAGACCCAAACAGGCGTAAATGTAGAATTTGGGCCCAGGGGAGGAGAAATCTCCCCCTGTCCCATCCTTTGGACCCAGACTGTGTTGGCAGCTGTGAATCCCCCTCTGCCCTCCCAGGCCCAGCTGGAAGCTTTGCTGACCCGGTTCCAGCCTCTTCGTGGCTCCCCAGCCCCGAGGAACCGCGGCTGGGCTCAGCAGGACACATCCCAACATCCCTCCCCCACACCCTGGGGTGCTGCTGCAGGGCCGTGGTGTCCTCCTGGGGGTCTGCACTCATCCCAAACAGCAGCTTTGCCCTAGTCCATGTTTTTGGGATCAGTGGGAGCCTCTGGGCAGGGATTAAACCCTCTGGGTGTAGCAAAGCAGGAGCTTCTTCAGCCCTGTGTGGGGTGAATCCAGCTTGTTCCATGGAAAACCATGGATCTGCTGCAGTGGTGGCTCAATCCCAAGGGATACAGTCCTTGTGGACCCACCTGGATGGGGCTGGGGGGGAGGTGTCACCTGGACAGGGGTCAGGGATGGGGAAATGTCACCTGGACAGGGGACAGGGATGGGGAAATGACACCTGGACAGGGGTTAGGGATGGGGAAATGTCACCTGGACAGGGGACAGGGATGGGGAGTGTCACTTTGTGCAAGCTGGAGCCCCAGGCTCAGCTCTGGGATCAGGGCTTAGGGAATGGTTGCTTTGCAAGGGGTTGGACATGAAGGAATCCCCTGGGCCCAGGAAAGTGGGACATGAGGAGGGGAGTTGTCCCCAGGGGGAGCCCCAGTGTCTCCCCTTGTAGCTCCCATGGGATGTGTTGGCTGCACTCAGAGACACCAGGACCAACCCCAGCACACAAACTGGTCCTTCCCCCGCTCCTGCTGTGGGAAAATCCACGTTCCCTCTCCAGCTGGGTGGCAGCAGCTCTGGTTTTACCTGGGCAAAGCTGTGGGTGCAAAGGCAACCCTGACCTGGCAGCACAAGTGAGGTTCCTGCTCTGGAAGACCCTCATCTGTCTTCTCCAGAGAGAGAAAAAAGGCACATTTAAGAAAATTAAGGTCACGAGGACTAAGTAAACAAGCTGAATCTCCATCTGTCAGAGAAAACAAGGGTTTTCTCTCTCTCTCCAGCCTGGAAAGCTCCTGGTTGTCAGCTGATCTGCCTTGTCTTTCTCACAGGGTGGTTGTTATTTTTGGTGGATGAATTTTTGATTAAATTCCCTTCTCAATCAAAGAAATGCGTGGAAATACCTCTCTCAGATGGATTTGGACTGTGCTTTTCAATTTGAGGGGTGGGGACCTTGGAGCTGATAGGACATGCTGGGGAAAGGAATAGGAAGAGCCCTGCTGGCCTTGCTTTCCCTGGATAGTGTCCCTGTGCCGGGGGGGTTGGCGGTTCCAGGCTGGTTCTGGCTGGGATCATCCCACGGTTCCAGCAGGAACGTGGATGGCAAAGGCTGGGTGAGCTCAGGGCATCACTGTCGGGAAGGATCCTCTCTCCTTCAGGCCTTGGCAGCACCTTCATCCCCAGGCTGGGGCTGAGCCACTGGGAGACAGCAGGATGTTCCCAAGAAAGCCACGGGGACAGTGCCAGAGCCATTCCAGGAGCAGGGTTTGGATCTCTGCCGTAGTTTCCCCCTCTAGTTCAATTTGGGTGCCTCTCCCGTGGGGAGGAAGACTCGTCCCCTGCTTCTTCACCCTCATCCCAGTGTCTGGAGAACCCTTGGCCCAGCTGAACACCTCTGACGCCCCAAATCCTTTGGGAATGTTGCTGTCTGGAGGGTCATCTGAGAGCCCTTGGGTTTTGGAAGTGCTGCAAGGACCTTGCTCCCCCAGGACCTGCTGCCTCTCAGCCCCTCAGAATAACTCTGGGGGGACCTAAACTGAGGTTGAGACCCAGGGTGGGATGTTGTGGGGTCTGTCCTGGCCCAGCACCCCCTTCCCTGGAGCTGGGCACCTCCAAGGAGCTGAGCTGTCCCAGGAGAGCCTTTGGGGATGCCCTGACCGTGGGACACTCTGCTCCAGGGGCTCAGCCAGCTCCTCACTGGCCACCTTGGCTCTGTCCCTGGAACAAAGGGATACTTCATCCCCAGGCTGAGCCCTCCCGATGCTCCCAAGGAGCTGAAGCAGCTGCTGAGCAGACGAGGAGCAGCAAACAGCCCGTGGGGGATTCACCCAGGTCTGTGCAAACCCACACACAGCCCGATCCAAACCCGATGGAAATCCCGGCGATTTCCTGACCCTTCCCCTCCCTCCCCACCCCGGGGAGATGCTCCAGCCCCAGGCAGCCACGTGCCCGTAATTGCCACGATCGAGCCGCGAGCGGGTTCTGTGAATGAGCCTTCGTTAGGAAATCAAACAGCGCCGGCCCGGCCCTGAAAGGATAATTTAAACGGATAATTTAAACGGATAATTTAAACGGCTTCTCCGGAGGAGCCGGATCCGGGAAAGATGCGGAGCCGAGACGGTTGCCTGGCAACAGATGCAGCCGACAGCCGAAAATAGATTTTTTTTTTTTTGTAAAAGGAACAAGGCCTGGCAAAGGGGGAACTTTCTTCAGGGGTGAAAAAGCACCGAGGTGAAGGCGAGGGAGGGGGAGGTTTCCTGCTGCTGCTGCTCGGCCCCATCTGGGGACGTCGGTGCCCTGGCAGGGAAGGGGCTCTGCTGCTGTGAAAAGGGTTGGGACTGGGGGCTAGACTGGATCAAAAATGTTTCTCCAAAGGCAAGAAGAGCTGGGAAAGGCTCTGAAAAATCATGGAGGCAGACGGGACAGCGGGAGGCCCACCCTGCGTTATCCATCCTCCATCCCCGTACGGACGAGGGTCGGTTTTCCCAAGGCTGAGGGGGTGTTTGGGCAATGTCACCTGTGAGAGGCCACCGGGGGCTTGGATGAGCTTGGAGCTGACTGAGGAAGCCCCCAGGCTGGGGGGATGGTGCTGCAGCCGGGCCAGGGTGGGATCATTGCCTGGGTGTGGCCCCAGAGCTCTGCCAGGACCCAGCAATCAGCCGTGTGTCCCCTGGGAAACAGGGATGGAGAGGATGGAAAAGAAGGAAGCCTGGCTCTTCAGGAGAGTCATTTTTGCAAGATGAGGGGTTTGTTGTGGGGTTTCTGTATTTTCTCCCCACTTGGTGAAGCACCACAGTCCCAGCTGGGTTGGGAGCTGCCAGTCCCAGCCCAGTTCTCCCAGTATGGAGAGGAGGGACGTGGTGCTTTCCCAGGCTGGGGAGCAGCAGAGCACATTCCCTCAGTGCTCCTGAGATATTCGAGGTGGGAGAGAGACCTGCAGGGCTAAGCCAGGTTGTGGAGATGCCTCCATGCAGGATCATTCCTCCTGGCCCAGGCTGGAAGCCGGGAAGCAGGAGGGGCTGGGATTGATGGCTTGGCCTTGGCTGCTGTTCTCCGCTGTAAAGCTGCCTGGGAAGATTTAACATCAGGCTCCAAGGATCTTATGTCACTCCTGATAATGTCCCGGGATGGAGAGATATGCTGGGTGTTTGTCACTGTCCCCTGAAAGCTTCCAAGTTGTCGTGGAGCTTATCCAGGGCTCTGCCAATGGCCAGGAGGGGAGGGAGCAGGACAGGAGGGCAGGGCCTTGGGCAGAGCTGGAGTTGGTGTCAGATTTTGTGGGGTTCAGCTGCTGACTGGGGGTGTTGGAGGGGCAAGAGGTGTCACAGTGATGTGAGCAGCTCCATCACTTGTCCCTGTCCTCTGGAGCCCAGGGAAATTCGCTGCTGGGGGTCACAGGGGGCCCTTCTCCATGAATGAGAGAAGCTGTGGCTGCCCCATCCCTGGAAGTGTCCAAGGCCAGCTTGGATGGGGCTTGGAGCAACCTGGGCTAGTGGAAGGTGTCCCTGCCCATGGCAGGGGGTGGGACTGGATGAGATTTAAGGTCCCTTCCAACCCAAACCATCCTGGGACTCTACAATGCTCCACCGGGGAGTTGCTCCTGGTCCATCCTTCATGGAGAAGGGGACGCTCCTGGTTCAGCTGAAGGTCCCCAAGGATGGGATGATGGAAACCCTTCTCCCCCAGTGCTGCCGGTCCCATCAGAGGATAAAACAAACCCAACCCCCTCCACTGACCCCTTCCCCACCCAGGTCCTGCTGATGACGAGGAGGTGAGGCCTGAGCTGTAGCTCACACCGGTGCCGTTCCCCGCGGGACGTTCATCTCCTTCCCTCACCCCATCCCACCCCCGGGACCCCCCGGAGCCGTCCCAATGCCCAAGAACAGCAAGGTGACGCAGCGGGAGCACAGCAGCGAACATGTCACCGAGTCGGTGGCCGACCTGCTGGCCCACCAGGAGCCCGTGGACTACAAACGCAGCGTCCTCAACGTGACGGGAGGGGAGGCCTGGGACAAGCAGAAGGAGGGGGAGGAGGACCTGGATGCGGAGAGGCCGGCCTGGAACAGCAAACTCCAGTATATCCTCGCCCAGATCGGCTACTCCGTGGGGCTGGGCAACGTCTGGCGCTTCCCCTACCTCTGCCAGAAGAACGGAGGAGGTGAGACCCGGGGCAGGGGTGGGATCAGCCCTTGGAGAGGGGGATGCGGCCCAGTTCTGCCCTGCTGCACATCGAGGTGTGGATGCTGGGGCAGGACAGGGGTTATTTGGGCTCTAAAGTGGGTTATGTGGGCTCTGAAGGTGGAAAGGGGCAGCCAGGAGTTGTGCTGAGTTGTTGGAATCTCCTGGACAGCCTCTTCCTAAAGGTTGTCCACCTGCCCACTCCAAAGTCAAGGTGAATCCCAGGGTAGGACCCAGGATTTCTTGCTGCAGCTCCTGATTCCTGCTGGGGCAATTTTGTAAACTAGGGGAAAAATGGGAAGAGAGAATCCCTCCATTTCCCTGGGTCCTGAAGTCACATTGGATAAAACGGGAAGAGAGTCCTTCCGTTTCCCTGTGTCCTGAAGCCACATTGTCCAGACTCCAGTCCTTTCCCAAATCCTCCTTCCACCAGTCTGTTCTCTCATCCCACCCCGTGCCTCCTCCTTGGGCTCCCAGGAGCAGCCCAGAGGGTCAGGCCTCGTCCAGCTGTGCTGAGACCCCCCACCCTTCATGACACTGACTGGGTGGGTCCCTCACCATTAACCCAAACCCGGCCCCTTCCCAGCAGTGCTGCCGGGGGCCAGGACCAGCCCAGTGCTCCCGTCTGCCCCGAGCATTCCGTGTTCCCGGCGTTGCAGCCCTTGTGCCCCCAGCCCCACAGCTGGAAAAGCTGCAGTGGCCTCAATAACTAAAACATCTCCAGGTGTCATTAGGATGAGTCATCCTACCAAATGTGCAGTCAGCACTCCTTTCCCTTTCCCTTTCCCTTTCCCTTTCCCTTTCCCTTTCCCTTTCCCTTTCCCTTTCCCTTTCTTTAGCCCAGGTGGCCTCATCTCTCTGTCCCATGGGGCAGACACTGATTTTCTGCCTTTTCCTCCCCCCCTTGGCTGGGATTCCCCTGGGCTGTGGCCTGGTGCCAGCCAGCAGGATACAAGAGGTCGGGAGGGATGGACAGAGCATTCCTGGCCATGCTGACCAGCCTCAGGATGTGGTGGTGGCTGCTGCTCCTCTCCTGCTCCCCGAGCAGGTGCCTGTGGGGGATGACGGCTGTGCCGGGAGCAGGATGGGCTGGAGCCAAATTCCCAGCACTCGGTGTGCCAGGAGCTGGCATGGGCCAGCCCTGGTGCTGCTGAGCGTGGTGATGTACAGGCTTGAGCTGGTGCCCAGTTTCCCAGACATCACAGCAAGAAAATCTCCAATATTGGACACATTTCCACGTGAACGTGTCCGTCTGTCTCAGGCTGGGATGCCCGGGAGGGCGTTGCAGAGATGGGACGCTCATGGTCCTTCCCAAATTCCACCAGCTCCAGCTCTGCTCCCTGCCTCTCCTTTTCCCCTCCCAATCACCCGGAGCTGCTGCACCTCGGTTTTGCTCCCCCTGCATATCTAACACATGATCCCAACCTCTGGATTTGCCGAGCCCCTGCTCAGAGCAGCCTCAGCTGCTCCAGGTCCCGGCCGGGGCGTGGGGTGGTGGTGGCTGTCACCGAGGTGTCAATCCAGCTGGGAATTTTCGCTGCTGGCTGCCCTGCCGGAGGCAGCCACGTGCTCCCGAGCCCATCCCGGCTCCTGGCAGGAGGCTGGAGTCGTTCATCAGCTGCAGTGTTGAGTCATCGCATCCTTTACGGTCACTTGGCCTCGGGAGCCCCCGGTTCCTCTCCAGCCTCAGCAATCAGACAGAGATTAACTGACTTCTTCCTCTCAGCTGTGCCTCCCCCGCCAGAGGATTTTGCTCTGCCCCAGCTGGCAGTGGGGTGGTGGGTGCTGCTGTTTGGGATGTGTTGGACAGATGAGCACAGGCAGGACCCGGGGAACAGGAGGGTCCTGCCTCCCCCTGTGCCCGAGATGGCTGGGAATGTGGCCGTGTCCCCACGGATTGGCTCCTGGAGGGGTGTCCTTGCACATGGGGTGTCTATGGACGCAGGGGAGCTTTGTGTGCTTTGGGGTCAATCCCACATGTCCCCACACTGGCAGGGGGTGTTGCACCCTTTCCTTCCACACGTATGTTTGCTCCTCTCCACGAGCTTCTCTGCTGGCCAGGCTCTAATCTTCATTCCCAGATCATGGAATCATTTAGGTTGGAAAAGCCCTCGAAGACCACCAAGCCAAACCCAGCACTGCCATCCTCACTACTAACCCGTGTCCCCAAGTGTCACATCCACACACCTTTTAAACCCCTCTAGGGATGGTGACTCCACTTCTGCCCTGGGCAGCTGTGCCAGGGCCTGACCACCCTTTCCACGGAGAAATTGTCCCTGATATCCAATCTAAACCTTCCCTGGTGCAACTTGAGGCCATTTGCAAAGGAGCTGATGGACCAGGCAGAGCCTGTCCCTGCCTGTCCATCCCTGTTCCAGGACCTTGGGAACAGAGAGAGGGGTCCATGACGACCTTTCTCGCCTCCTCCAGGTGCCTACTTGGTCCCATACCTGGTCCTGCTCATCATCATTGGGCTCCCCCTGTTCTTCCTGGAGCTGGCCGTGGGGCAGCGGATCCGCAGGGGCAGCATCGGAGTCTGGAATTACATCTGTCCCCGCCTGGGGGGCATTGGCTACGCCAGCTGCCTCGTGAGTGCGCCCTGGGGAGCCCCCAGACCCCACCTCGGGTTGGGTGGGGTGGAACCAAACCCCGGGGGCCCCATGGGGGGGTTTGAGAGGTCAAGGGGTGTATTTCCAGCTCCACTCACGGGCTGGTTTGGGGATGGGCCCATCCCCTGATCCCTGCACCCCACTCTCTGCCCAGCGGTAGGGTGGGGACAGTGACACTGCCCTGTGGTTTGAGACACAGTGTCACTGCCCTGTGGTTTGAGGCTGTGTCCTCTCTCCCTCCTCCCCCCAGGTGTGTTTTTTTGTCGGTCTCTATTACAACGTCATCATCGGATGGAGCATCTTCTACTTCTTCAAGTCCTTCCAGTACCCGCTGCCCTGGAGCGAGTGTCCCCTCGTGAAGAACGGCTCGGTGGCCAGTAAGGAACAGCCCTGGGGCCAGGGGGGGCTCAGCTGGGAGGGAGCAGCTCCCAGGGAAGGGGGCTGGGGGGCACTGGAGACCTCCAACACCTGTAGCTGTCACAGGTCGGGGCCACCAGAGGTCGAGGTGTCTCCTGAGTCCTCTCTCCTTGCCCTGAGCACATGGAGAGCTCTCCCTTGCTGACGAGGCTGTTGGAAGATATTAATTATGGGCTCTTGATGAATGAGGTTGGATGAGGGTCTTCCACACTCTCTGTCCCCACTAGTGGGATTTGGTGCCAGTTTGGGAACCCACAGTGTGGATTTTCAGGCTTCCTCAGTACTTGAGGCCAGGATCTGATCCAGGACCTGGCTGTTCCATTGGTGCCCGACTGAGACACTGATGGAGCTAATGGTGTTTAATATCATCTGAGCACCTCCTTGGGACATTCTGAGAGGATTTATAGCAAATAAAAATGTCTCTCCCTGTATTTAATATCTAATTTTCACCTGGTAATGGTTTTACGTTCTGTCTCTTATTTTTCCTGCTGAAAAAAACCCCCCATTAATTCCTGCCTCTTAGCTTCCAGAGGTACCTCCCTTCCCTGGCCTGCTCCAGTGGGTTTTTCACATTAGAGGCAGTGGGTGACTGTCCCCCAGCCCCCTCACGCTCTCCTGTCCCTGCTCTGTTGCAGTTGTGGAGACAGAATGTGAGAGGAGCTCGGCCACCACCTACTTCTGGTACCGGGAGACCCTGGACATCTCCAACTCCATCTCGGAGAGCGGGGGGCTCAACTGGAAGATGACCCTGTGTCTGTTGGTGGCCTGGAGCCTTGTTGGCTTGGCCATGATCAAAGGCATCCAGTCCTCCGGGAAGGTGGGTACTGGTGGCCCCCTGAGCCTGGCTGGGCTCTGTGCTCAGGGCAGGAGCCTCCCACCTCAGTCTTGCTCTCCTCTGATTGGGATGTCAAACGTCTCCTCTGATGTTTGGTTTCAAGTGCTTCAGGTGCTCTGGAAGCGGGAGGTGGCCAGGGGAGGATGGAGACCCTTCCTCCTGGTCTGGGGGAGCTGAGGGGTGCTGTGACCCTTGGGATGCTCACACCCGCTCCACAGTTGGGCCATCTCTGAGGGGGTCCAGAATAAGATCAAAAGAGAGTGTAAGGAAGATGTTTAGTCCAACCTGCAGCCAGGGATCAGCCAGGGCAGCAAATCCACCTGAGCTCCAGCACTGGGAACATCCTGCTCCAAGGGGTCCCATGGCTGCCTGAGGAACAAACCTCACCCTGGGGTAGGAAACCCCCCTGGGTGGGAAATCCCCCCCCTCTCCCCAGTTGGCTGCCCGTGGGTTGGACGGGGAGGTGGCTGGGTGGGAAAGGAGGCTGTGCCCGTGTTGGATCCCTCTCTCTCCAGGTGATGTACTTCAGCTCCCTCTTCCCGTACCTGGTGCTGGTTTGCTTCTTGGTGCGGGGACTTCTCCTGCGTGGGGCAGTGGATGGGATCATGCACATGTTCACACCCAAGGTGAGAGCCCCCAAACCCTAAACAGGTTCTCCTCCTGGCAGGTCACACCCCGTTCTCCCTTTGTTTTCTTATTCCTCTTATTAGTTCCCTATATTTCCCTTATCTTCCTCCCCGGCCTAAAAACGAGAGTGCCAACTCCAAACGACCTTGGGGATCCTGATAGGTCATCAGCACCCAAAGTTTAGGGTGTGGCCAGGACAGCCAAGAGCCTCACAAACTCACCCCTCAGCATCACCCCGTCCCCCTCAGCTGCCCAGACACCAGGGTGGGGAGGGGGGGGGTGCCTGAGGCCAAATACAAATATAAAGACTTCATGGAACGACTCTGTCTGGCAGCAAAACCTCTGCTGGTGGTATGTGCCTATTAATTAAGCAGCTAATTAATTAATTAAGCAGAGATGTAGATGAATCAGCTCAGCCGACGAGGCTGTTGGAAGATATTAATTATGGGCTCTTGATGAATGATGCTGGGAGGCCTCCAGGCTGCAGCTCTGGCTCCTGGGAGAGGGGGGATGTGGTTGGGGGGACTGGGAGTTAAAAACAACCCCCCCCAGCCAGGATGTTGGATTTCCAGTGCTCCATGTGCTCTGGAAGGAGGAGGTGGCCAGGGAAGGATGGAGACACATCACTGGGTGGATTGTGGCTCCCTGGTGTGGGGGGACATGGACACCCCTCCCCAGGGCAGCTGGGTCTCCGCTGGGAAGCTGCAGGGCTTTGCACTGGGAGATGGAGCACCCAGGTCAGGCCCTGAGGCAAGTGGAGCACCCAGAGGCAGGGTCAGCTCAAACCTCTGCCTGACCTCCCCACGCCTCTGTGGGAAAGAGAAGGACTTGTGAGTGCTGGGTGATGACCTGACCGTGGTAGACCATGGAAGTCCCAGAACGGTTTGGGTTGGAAGGGACCTTAAAGATCATCTCATTCCACCTCCCATCAAAATGCTCCCAAACCAGCCCAGTCTGGAGGCACAGTAGCCTTTTAGGGGAGCTCTGGCTCCACTGGGGTGAGCAGTGGGGTCACCAGACCACTGAACTTCTTCTCCTGTCTTCCTCCCAAGCTGGACAAGATGCTGGACCCCCAGGTGTGGCGGGAGGCGGCCACGCAGGTTTTCTTTGCTCTGGGCCTGGGCTTTGGGGGCGTCATCGCCTTCTCCAGCTACAACAAGCAGGACAACAACTGCCACTTCGACGCCACACTCGTGTCCTTCATCAACTTCTTCACGTCCGTGCTGGCCACCCTGGTGGTGTTTGCTGTGCTGGGCTTCAAGGCCAACATCATGAACGAGAAATGTGTGGTGGAGTAAGAGCTGGGTTTGATTTGTTTGGGGTGGGCAGGTCTCTGCTGCTGCTGGTTGCGGTGGTTCTGGAGGCAACAGAGGAAGTGCTCTGGAGTTGGGTGATCCTGGGTTTGGTGGACACAAGTTCCTGATGGCCAAGACTTGTATTTCTAGAGATGTCCCACTGAGGGAGTTGGGCATTCAGCTCTTCCAGCCTAAAATCCAGCTCTAAGATGGGCTCCTAGTCCGTAAATTGCAGGTACATCCAACACATCTCACACCACCTGAGAGGTTCTGTTGTCCCTCAGGAATGCTGAGAAGATCCTGGGCTACCTGAACACCAACGTGCTGAGCCATGACCTCATCCCACCCCACGTGAACTTCTCCCACCTCACTGCCAAGGACTACAACGAGATGTACAGGGTGATCATGACGGTGAAAGAGGGGCACTTCAAGGAGCTGGGCTTGGACGCCTGCCTGCTGGAGGATGAGCTCAACAAGGTACCTGGTGGCACTCTCAGGAGCTCACCCACACCCATTGCCCCTCCCTGTGTCAATCCTGGGCACATGGATCTGGAAAATCTTCTTTTAGAGACCCTCCATGGCTGGGAATCCACATCCCTGTGTTTTCCCCTTGTGGTCCCTCCTGGGGTCGGGGTAAGGTCCGTCCATAGCGAGTCTTGCAGGGTCATCACCAGCAGCAGACTGGGGTTTTCCTTCCTTGAGGACTGGTTCAGGGAGGGAGACCTGAGCCATTCAGGGCCTTGAAGTCCGTGTCCCTGACGTGTTTCTTCTCATCTGTTGGTCCCGTGTCCCCCTCAACAGTCGGTGCAAGGGACTGGCCTGGCCTTCATCGCCTTCACCGAAGCCATGACCCACTTCCCGGCGTCGCCCTTCTGGTCCGTCATGTTCTTCCTGATGCTGATCAACCTGGGCCTGGGCAGCATGATCGGCACCATGTCGGGCATCACCACCCCCATCATCGACACCTTCAAGGTGCGCAAGGAGGTGTTCACAGGTGAGGTCCTTTCTCCTGCAACCTCCTGGGGAAGGGGTGGGGGGTCCCCGTTGCCCTGAGGAGACGTTCCAGGAGAGTGTGGACACAGTGGATGTGAACTGGGCCTTGCTAATGTAGGGAATGGGCCTTGGGGAGGCCTTGGTGTCCCTCAGGGGGGTTTGCTGACCACTCCAATGCAGGGAACGGACCTTGTGGTGGTCTTGGTTCTGCTCGGGGGGCTCTGCTGACCACCCCTATTTGCTCCCCCCAGTCGGTTGCTGCATCTTCGCCTTCCTGGTGGGGCTGATCTTTGTGCAGCGCTCTGGGAACTACTTTGTCACCATGTTTGACGATTACTCAGCCACGCTGCCTCTCACTGTCGTGGTGATCCTGGAGAACATCGCCGTGGCCTGGATTTATGGCACCAAAAAGTAAGGAACTTGTACAGCAAAAGGAATAACTGTGCTGTGATTCCTGGCTAAAAAAACCCCCCTTCCAGCTCTTTTCTATATGGCTTTTTCTCCAAGAGAAAAGCTCAGTTCACCTTGATCCTCCTGCCCTGCCCTGGTGTAACCCAGCCCCAGGAGCAGGTTCTTTTTGTGGGTTGGTTGTGGTGCCCTGTCCCTCGAGATCAACCTTTGTCCTGAGGTTTCCATGTCCTTCTGGAAAGACACCTTGTTCCCCCGGTGCTTCTTGTTGTTCCTAAGTTGGTCAGAGCAAAGGAGGCTCTGGATAATGCTCAAAAGGCCTTTTCCTCAGGAGTTTCCCACAAGTCCTACAGGCTTGAGGGATATTGAGATGCTCCCCAGGACCAGCTGGGTTCTACTTCAGGCTCTGCCTTGAGCACAGTTTACAACGGGGGCTCCTGGGAGGGAGTTTGTCCCTTGGAGGTGGGGAGAACAGCAGGATTCCATCTCTTCCCTGGCAGGTTCATGCAGGAGCTGACGGAAATGCTGGGATTCCGGCCCTACCAGTTCTACTACTACACCTGGAAGTACGTGTCCCCCATCTGCATGGCCGTGCTCATGACCGCCAGCATCATCCAGCTGGGAGTCAGCCCCCCGGGGTACAGCGCCTGGATCAGGGAGGAGGTGAGCACAGCCCCCCTCCCCATCCCAGGGGTCCTGGCTGAGCAGGGGAGAGCTGCAACTACCCCATTCCTCCCACCTCTGCTCCCCTCTCCTGGGTGACATCCCGCTCACCCTCTGCGTTTGTCCACCCGGCCCAGACGTCTCCACCCAGTTCTGACCATGGAATGAAGTTTCAATGTGGATTGTGGTTGACCTCTGTGGGCAGTACCATGTCCTTCCCCTCGATTTGAACCCACTTTCTGCCAGCTCCAGGTGTCCCTGAGGATGGAGTCTTGCAGGAGGCAGCAGGAATTGTCTCACACTTCAGAGCCATGGTACCTGGTGGGCATCACCTTTGCTGTGACAGCCCTGTGACATTAATATCTGTTCCTTCCAGGCTGCTGAGAAGTTCCTGTTCTACCCAGCCTGGGCCATGGCCATCCTCATCTCCCTGATCATCCTGGCATCCCTCCCTCTGCCCCTGGTCTTCATCCTCCGGCAGTTCCACCTCGTGTCCGACGGCTCCAACGCCCTCTCCGTCACCTACAAGAAGGGCCGGATGATGAAGGACATCTCCAACCTGGAGGACAACGACGAGACCCGTTTCATCCTGAGCAAAGTGCCCAGCGAGACCCCGTCCCCCATGCCCACCCACCGCTCCTACCTGGGGCCGGGCAGCAATTCCCCCATGGAGATGAGCAGCGCTCCCAACGGACGGTACGGGAGCGGGTACCTCCTGGCCAGCACCCCCGAGTCCGAACTGTGATGGCCCCCTGCCCGCCACCCCCACCGGGAGAGGAGGGCACTGGGGAGTGGATCCTGGCTGTCCAGGCAACGGGAAAAATTCATTAATAAGGAAGATGAAGAAGAAACCCCCTCTTATAAAATCATAACCCAAAGCAGCCGTTCGTAAGGTGACACCGGGAAGGAGGGATTGAGGGAGGGGCAGGACTCCTCCGACAACCCTCGGCTGAAAGGCAGGACCCCCCCGGGACCGCCCCCGGGGAAGGGAGGAGGAGCAAGAGACGCTCCGACACCTTTCCGAGAGTCGTTCTCAAATCTGAAGCAAGGAATCTCTTTTCTAAGCAGCTGATGGTTGGAACAAGGACCCGGAGGCAGGTTGGGAAGCCAACCCCGCTCCCTCCTGTCGCCCAGCGCTCTTCCCTCCTGTCTTTGTCCCTTATCCGGGAGGAGTCATGGCCTTATTCCAACGAGCACAATTTAACCCTCGATGTTCAGAGCACAAAAAGGTGCTGTTGTTGTCACCATCGTTGTTGTTGTTGTATCTCCTGTAGGTTTTTATAGCTGTGGACACACCCAAATGACCCCCAAAATCCTGACCAGGGTTGGCAGGGAGCAGCACGGGGGTGGCTGGGACTGTGGATGGTGGATCCTTGGAATCTTTGTTGCCACCAGCATGGGAACAGTGGCTGGGGGTTGTTTGGAGGCATGGAGATGTCATGGCTGTGGGATGAAGTGGCAAGTTTTGTGCTGAGTGGTTTGGGTGTGTGAGCGTTGTGGGGTCTGGCTGGGGGAGAGGAGTCTCTCCTGGAGTTACTCCTCACGTGTGGGATGTTCTGCTGAACCAAAATCCCTGGCATGGCGATTGTCTCCTCTTGCTCCTCTCTTCAGATGGCCCAGAGGGACACCCAGAGAAGCTGTGGGACATCCAGTCCTGTCACAGTCCTGGTTTAGCTCTCAGGAAACCACCCCCTGATTTACCTCCCGTGCCCCTCCAGCCAAGGGGAGCTGGGCAGTGACTCTCTCTGGACTTGCCTCCTCGTTTCTCCTCCTGTTCCCTTTGACCCCCCTTTGGGGGCCCTGTTGCACCCCCACAGGAGCTCACCAGCTTCTGGATGGGGGTGACCAGTTTTTGGGGACCACAGGCATCCGTGGAGCAGCAGCTGCTGGGAGTCCCAGGAGTGGGAGATCCCAGATCTCCTTGGCTCTTGATGAGGTTGGTGAGGCCCTGCTAGAGCCCAGGGGGCCATCCGTGTTTTTTGGAGGATCAGATTGATGTGACTGCATGTTGTTTCTCCCCAGGTTGTTTGGGAAAGGGTGGGATCTCCCAGCTCTGAGTCTCTCCCACTGGGACTGGGGCTCATTTCCCTAAATGCCACAGGTAGCCAAGCACTTCTGCCAAGGGTCCCAGTATACCCTGGCACATTCCCCCTTTCCCAGTGGGGACAGGGAAGCAGCAACCTGCCTGGGCTCTCTCTCCCTCTCAGCACTTTGCTGTGGCCTCCAAAAGCTGGGGGAGCACCTCATCCTTGGTCCTGCTGGGCTCGGGTCATGCACAAAGGTGTTTCAGGCCAGTCCGAAGGTCAGGTTTGGGGGGGCTGGTCCATGAGTCCTTCTCTCCCTTCCCTCTTCTGCTTTCCTGTCAATGGCTCTTCTTCCACCTTGGTTTTGTTTGGGAGGTGAAGGCAGAAGGTACCTGGTCCATTCAACACATCCCTGACCTCTCAGCATTCCTGGGGCCGGGAGGTTCCTCACAGTAACATCTCCTGTGGGTTCTGATCCTTTATTTGTTGTCCTTCTTCGTGAGCTTAGCTGGTGACCTGGGGACTCTTCCTGGACAAAAAGCTCAAACCCTTCATCGACCATTTTTCCAGGGGAAAATGGAGGCAAGGACTGAACTGAGGCAGCTCAGTGATGGCTCTGAGAGGTACCAGATCCGTGTGGTCAGGATCAGCAGTGCTCCTCCAGCAGCTCCCCCTTCCCCATCCCTCCAAGGTCTTTCTCCTTCCCCTGTCCCTGCAGAGGGACACTGAAAAGTCCCCACTGCATCATCCCTGAGGGGGAGAAGCCCAAACCTGGTGGGTTTTCCTCATCATTAGTCAACATGTTCCTTCCCATCTCTGTTTGGATCCATCTCCACCTGACCAGCAAAACAGGAGGAGCCAAATCGTGTCCCAGTGTCCCCTTCCCGACGCCCCCGAGCCCGGGGGCCGCGTTCCCCCCGCAGCTCCCATGGAGTTGGTGGAGCAGGACACCTCCCACGGCCAAAACGCTTCACCCCATCCAGCCCCAGGGTGTGACGTTCCCGGAGCCCCGCGGGGGAGGATCCGGCTCCCCGTGTCTCCCAGCCCCATTCCCAAACCAGCCAGGGAGGCTTCGCTTCCCTCCCCTCTTTGTGCAGCATCGACGAGAGGCAAAGTCAACAGGAAGGCAACAAAAAAAGCTATATTATATATATATACATATATATATATATATAAAATATATACAGAGAGAGGAGATGGGATAATAACCTAGAGATTCTCTATTTCTATTGTATATTTATTCTGTAAATGTCACTGTAAATGCTGTTAAATGACAAACTGTATTCCAAAGTGGCCCGTGACCTATTTTCATTCCCAGTGCTGTACAGATCAATTCTCATTCTAGAGAGGGACATATTTTTACCTTTTTATTTCTTGTCCGTGGTGGGTGGGCGTCCCTTTCCCCCCGCCCCCAGCCCAGGGAGGCTCCAACGACCCTGGGCAGATCCTGCAGAGAGGAAGAGGAGGAGGAGGAGGAGGGACGACGCCTTTACTTTTATCTGTGGAAATACTGTATTTTGTCGTGGCATTCGGTGTTAGACACGGGGTGTTGGGGGGGAGTGTGCGTGTGGGTGTGTGTTTTAAGTGGTCCGTGTTGTCGCGTGTGCGTCCGTGCGGGGGGTGTGCGCGTGTCCGTGGGTGCGCCTGGGTTTAGGATTCACTTCTGGCTGTTCTCTCTCACTTTCCGAGCCTGCCCCGGGGGTTTCTCCCGCTCGCCGGGGCAGGTTCTCCCTCCACACTCCTCCTCGGGGTCCCAGGCTGTGGGTGGGGCCGACCCCCGGTGGCTTTTAGCCCCAGAGATCCCGTTTTTGCCCTCTCTCTCTGCACAGAGGCACAGGGAATAGCTGCTAGTTGTGAGCACAGGCACTTTTCAGTTTTCCTTCAGGCAGTGGGACGAGGAGGGGGAGCCGCTGCCGATGTCCCTGTCCCCCCACATCAGCTCCCTGCCCGGTTCCCAGCCCAGATCCTGCTGCCGGGAGCAGCGTGCTGTCCCTGGCTGGGGGACAAGGAGGTGCTGGGGGGGTTGGGAGAAGTCCAAACCCTGGGGACAGAGCTGGGGTGGGGTTCAGTGGCTCTAGAGAAGGCAGAAAGGAGGTTGCAGGGGGGGCCCACCTTGTGATACTGGTCCAGCCTGTAGGGCTGGAGTTGGGATGCTCCATCCCCCAGCACCGGGCTCTGCTCCAGGGGCTGGACCTTGATCCCGGTGTGAGTCAGAGGGGAAGGCTGGAGCCAGGTCCCCAAGTGTCCCACGGCTCCTTCCCCTCAGTCCCTCCAAAACAGCCCCTGCCTCACCTCCCAGCCCTCACCCAGACCCTGGCAGGCCACATGGACCCCCAGCACCTCCAGGAGCAGCTCCCACTGCCTTCTCCTGTCCCCGATCCCTCCCTGAGCCCGGGTCTCGCTGGCAGGGGTGGGAGCAGAGCTGGGTGGCCTTGGTGGCCAGGACAGTGGCCTTGGTGGCTGGGAGGGACAATGCACGGCCATGGGAGCCCCCAGGATGGAGCTGCTTCCCCTGGGGAAAGCACAATGCTGGCGAAACCTTCCTGTACAGGTAAAAGCACAGATCCCATCGTGACACATCCCTGTATCCCCGTAGTTCCCATCGGGCTCCTCGGCCATCGAGAGAAACCCTGTAAGAGCTGTATCAGAG